TCCCCCCCCCCCCCCAAAAAAAAAAAAAAATAAATAAATAAAACCAGCAAAAAAAATGAAAAACAGGTTCCACCACTTCTGTCACTAAAATATCCTTTCTTAGGATATAGGAATTACTGTTCAGATTACAATTATTTCGATTTTCTTCTTGCATATACAATTTTCAAGAACAAGTATTACTTCTCTATTTCTTTCCTTTATTTTCTTTCTATACCATGCAATCATATTGGGCTTAACTGGAAATTGAATAAGAGTTACAACAGTAACAAATCAAATTCAGATTGAAAAAGTTATTTTATAGGAAAACTGGAATATCGCTATTCACAGCTTCACCTATAATCTACCCCAACAGTCTCAATCTTGATTTTTATGTTTCGGTTGTATTAATTACTTTCAAATTCAATTCTCAATTATGCCTTGAACTGGATCCCCCCTCCCCAACCACCCCATAAAATACAATATAATGACCCTGGGGGAAGTGAGAGTTCAAGAGAGAGAGTGAGTACCTTTCGCTTCCTGTTATCCAGAGGCTGAACTTCAATTGCAAGGTACGTATCAACATCATCCGCAGTAACAATATAATTTGGTTGCTTGGCCCCTGAAATCAGCACCTTAAAAACATTCACAAACAAGTAATATTGCAATCATTTCAGGAAATCAAACTAAGAAGAATTACCATCCATATAGTTGACAGACCCGTCTTCCATATGGCGTACCCACTGCAAGTTAACAAATTAAAGGCAAAGGGAAACAACTATAAAAGTTAACAGAAATCAGTCACTACAAAGCTACTTAAAAAGATTTAGACAAGTTTGAGCAACATCAATCACCAAAGGCAATCATATATGGGAACTACAACATAACAAAAAAATTGAAAGCATTGAATACACAAATGCACCTCAAAATTACAGCTGGTTGTTCCATTAATAGAATATCCGCTTGCTAGGAGTTCCCGTCCTGGGAAGGCTTCACCTGAAATTTGGAGGCCCTCTATTGCAGGTAATGGATCATCATCGGCAGCTGGATATTGAAATGAATTAAGTGCAGGAAAGTAAGCAGCAATGTTCAAAGCAATAAACTAAAGATTAAAGCCCAAGATATTGTCACCCTCAGAGAAGGAGGAAGAAGGTTCTTCAAGAACTGGGGGTAAATAAGGAGAATATGAAGAGCTGGGATCATCAAGCGTTGTTGTATAGGGAGAGTTTTTGGAGCCCCAGTTGGCTGAAGGCTCCCTGTCATTTTGGTGTCCGTCCATGTCTGCATCATCCATGTCATTGCTGCTAACCGGATAACTAAAAGTAACTTGCTTATTCGTGGTTTCTTCCCCAGTTCGTGAAGTATACAAATCTCCCCTGGCAACGCCAATCTGTGCAGGCATATCTTGGGATGCAGTGTTCCTGCAACAGCAGAGACCTTAATACAGGACCAGAATTGATAAAAGCCGAGCAAACATCCATAAATAGGCTCGGAAATACACAAATCTTGTATGTTATTTATCCGAAAATAACCAATGAAAAGTTAAGAGGAACTTCTGTGCATTCATTAATTTCTCAAGGAAATGAATCAAAGACACATAAAATTTCTATTTTCCAAGTATAAGGGCTTTAGAGCTGTCTAACCTTACTGAACACGAAACTCATTAACAATGAAATACTTATATTCAAAACTTGTCGTATGTAAGTTTCAACTGACGAAAAGAAAATCTTACTAAACTGAGAAGGGTAAAATGCCTGATGATAAGTCCTTGTCAAACCAATTACAAGTCCTTATAAAACCAACAATCATAAAAAAGGAGGCCATAATTCTAATTTCAGCTCATATATAGAATTCAATTTTAAGGTAAAGAATCTGAACAGCTTAAGTTCAATCAACAGCAAATAACAGCACAATATATNGAGAGGCCATAATTCTAATTTCAGCTCATATATAGAATTCAATTTTATGGTAAAGAATCTGAACAGCTTAAGTTCAATCAACAGCAAATAACAGCACAATATATGTTGTTCTAAATGTGAGGAAAGTTGCCTAGGAAAAAAGTATACTACATTTTGTTGTTATTGCTACACAACAAAACCTTTTATTTTTTGTCTATCTACTGTTAATAGAAGTTAAACTTAGAAAGAAACATAGTAATGCATGAACAGGAGCAGCAGCAGGAGCTGGAGGAAGTTTCCACAGAAAAAAGAGAACAATATTGGAAAATAAAAGGAATGAGACAAAGTAAGAAAATCAAAAAACAAAAAATTAACACTACAACCTCCACAATACAATCAAAAAGGGCCAGAGAGAACCAGATAATGAACTACATGTTCAGCAGAGTATCACCATAAAGGACTTCTCGGAAAACAAAAGGAGGAATAACACAAAGTGAAGCACAAAATATGAAACCTAAAACTAACACCACCACCCACAGAACAAGCTACAACAATAGAATGGCCAGAGGTTCAGCAGAGTATCACCATAAAGGACTTCCAAGATCTAAAGCTCCTTTTTGGCAACAAAAAAGAATTGTGAAATCTAGAGTACTTGTTCACCAGAGGATCAAGCAAAAGAATCTTCCTTTTGCAAGTGTACTTGTCTTCTCTCATACCTCATGAACAGACCTAAATACGCATTCTTGAGCCTATAAAAATCCTATATTGCAAATCCCAATCATTCACATCTTCAAATCGAACCTTAAAACTACACAACCTAAAAAAAAAAGGTTATTTAGCACAAAAATAGTAACCTGCATACCCTCCTTCAAACCCTTAATTTTAGTTACCAAAACCTTACCCAAATAGCCCTCAACGAACCATACCCGTTTCCACTTGTTTTGGCCTTTAAATCAACACATACAAACCCTAGGAATCTATTTGGTCGGAGTGTGTAATACTCCTATTCCTTACACGGAACATCTATATGTGGGTGACTGAACTTGTAGGAAAGTGTTTCCCTCACTTGTCCTACATTTTATTTTAATATTTCACAAGATTTTAGTACCTTCCATTTGTAAATGGAAATCAAAAATTAATCAAGTATTAATGTTCATAGAACCTTCAGTCATTGATAAACAATTTGTTGGAAAATAGTCAATGCAATTACCAAAAAATATACAGATTACGAAATCAATATTGTAATTAAGCAATCATTTCTTTCGAATATCAATTTCCAATTTACAATGGGTAGATCTATAGGACATACATGGACACATACTTCACAAGGAATGCATTTATGAAATGCAAAGTAGATTTGGCCACGGAAACGTTTTGATATTATCAATTTTTCATACGAGTATTGAATAGTTACAGATAATGATTCACATGGGATAAGGTAATCATGAAACATTGACCAATACCATAATTTATGAACTCAGTTACCATAGAGAACATATTGGATATAAAGGCACAAGCATTATTCTCTTTTTTAACTATAGAGTACATAATTGCTAAAACAGAGATAAATTTCCAATTTTCTCCTCTCAAAAATGGGTACAAGCATGCAAATGCTGGAGGGTTTGTTAAAGTTTAAACTACAAATCTAAGTTGCCCACAGGACCAGAAGCAACCAGAGTATTTCTAATTTCATACTAACACATCCATAGCTTTAACTCAAAATTCTGCATGAGATATAATTTAAGGAAATGAGGTTTATAAAATAAGTAAGAGAGAGAGAGAGAGAGAAGATTTACCAGTAAAAAATGGGGCTCAAAACAAAGAAATTTTCACACAAACTAGGCTACACATCATTCCTTGATAAAATCTCAAACCTTAAAAGATCTCAAAATCTTCCATAATTTGACTATAAAAATTTTACTCATAAGCCTTACAACACCACATTATTTCCAAGAAACATGGTGCTCTAGTGTAATGGAGAAAAACAGAGGGAGTTACTAGCATCGTCCAATTATTTTACCATCAACCAAGTGCACGAGAATCAACAAATTCTATAGACAGCAGAATTGTTTGTATAACCTTATTTGCCTTGCAACCCGAGATAAATTGTTAGAAGCTGTTGCACATTGAAATGCCACAACAGGTCTCCTTTCAAACACTTTTTCTTTCATAAGTCACAAAAATGCAACTGGTGTTAGTTTTTGGGAAGGTGAAGCCTAACCTAAGTTCCAAGCGAATCAACATGCAATTTTTAAATGTTGACTCATACATACACACCCAGTCAGTGGGAGAAATCAATGACTCCAAAAACAGACTGTGTAATATACTAATATGCATTCAGTCACAGTAGCAGTCCCCATTTGACCAGACTCACCTGTTTGCAAGAGGTGAATACTGCCCTAAGTCATCAGGCTCCATGTTGTTTGAAACACCAACTAAACCATTCTGATGATGTCCTAACAGATCCCAATCTCTAGTTGCCAGAGGATCTGAAGAAATTGGTATCTGCCCATTTGAGTATGTTGGTTGTAGTACCAGTTCAAGCCCATTTTTGTTCTGTCACATAAACATGTATATTTGAGAGAATCATGATGGCACCATTGCAAAATCATAGTAAGACATACGAGCTTAGTTAAAATGCCCATCCTACCCCGCTGGAATGAGATGGTGATTGAGCAAAATTTGAGGGGTTCACATTGGAACGCCACGGTGCCAGTTGATATTGAGTCTCTTTTAACTTTGCCTGTGAAAACAAAAAGAAAGCACACAAATTCAAGTCAATCCAGCTATGGCGAATAAATTTTGGTAAAGGACCTGAATATCCCAAACTAATCAAGGCCAGGTTCAATTTGCCATAAAATTTAGGGATTTAAACAAATAGATGCAACAAGTTTGTGGCTTCCTCAAACCTTTACAATGTACCTCGGTTACAATAAGCTTCTCCTGCAAATGTTTGAACAACACCTGCAAGAGGCACGTTTCAAGAAGTAAACATGATAGTGGTAATTTCAGAGAATAAAGAATATCAGCCACCCTTCTCCAGTATAAATATAGACATCATCTTTGTACCTAGGTCTTAAAAAAATCATTTATTTTATTGGCATTAACATAATTTTAATATATGGCCTTAAGGTATTTTTTTTTTTTTAAAACTCCAGGTATTGATATACATAATGCAAGCAGAATATACAATGAAGAAGGATGAGCCACCCTTACAAGGTCACAAAAATACATTCACCATAAAGAACACTAAAGATAAGGATTGCAGAACTATCAAACAGGGCAAAAACCACCTACGGTAAATTTTCAAGGAATAAAATGTGACTCCAGTGAGTGAAGTGACCCCTCTTAAAGGGTCACTACCCATCTTGATCCCTATTAATTGGGGATACTTGAAGTGTCAGATTGGGTACAAACCTCTTTTTTGAAAGTTTTTGCACAAATTGGCTGCCCTTTTATTCAAATCCACCACTCACAATTGTTAACCCAATACTTTTATCACTATATCAGGCAATTACCCCCATGTAACTCCTTTCTTGGCAAGTAAAATATTCGTTTGAGATCAGGAAGAATGATATACTCGGTAACTGGTAATCATTTCCAAGAAAACCCAATCCCATTTACAAAATGTAACAAGAGTTACTTTCCGGGGAAAAAAAAATGTAACAAGGGTCTTCTAAAAATTTTGCCTCGGATTAGTATCATGTTGTATTTGAAATTTAACGCAAAGGTTCAGCCTTTATAAACTGAAAGATTAGCAGCAAAGCAGTGCCCTGAAGATACAGTAAGTCTAGGGATGGGTGTGGTATTGAAGTGTCTGATGAGAGAGTGGGGGCTCAATCTGATTCTCTCCAAGCTTCTTGGTGAGTCGGTCTGCAGACCTATGGCTTCTAAAGAGGATCACAGAATGGGAAACCAAAGCTTGGAAGGGGAGTCAGAATAGCCAGGCTGATTCTTTTAAACTAGCATTATATGACACAACTATTAGGGTTTCAATGGAAGACAGTAGATGATGTAGAGTGTGTGTGTGTGTGTGTGTGTGTGTGTGTGACTGAGAGAGAGAGTGTGTGTGTGACAGTGTGAGAGAGAGAGAAGAGAAAGAATTAGAGAGAGAGGAAAGGGAAGAGAAGGGGAAGAGTGAGGTTGGCAAGGAAAAAGAAAGGCAAAGAATCAAAGAGGACAAAGGAGATGTGAGAGAGAAGAGAGAGTGTGATTCTTCCAATGATTCAGCATGCCAAAACAGATCAATATTTACTTGAGGCCTCAGTTTATATAGGCAGTCCCAACCCAAAACATCTTATATCAGTTACAAATATCAATAATTAAATCATCATGCTTCGACAAATATATATCGCTCCAAAAATAGTAGCCTAAGAATCCTCAAGTCAAGCTTCACCAAATCCCTTGATGTTCCCCAACAATTCTCCTTCCCTAAGAGAAAACTCTCCAGCGAGCTATGGCAATGATATTGCTCCAAAAGATACAGATCATAATAATAAGACATCTCTTCAAGAATCTGTATAGCATCAAAAGAATCTCCCAATGTGATGAAATGACACTAGAAACCACCAAGTGATGAAACGACATTATTACTCTGAAGAACTATTGTTGCCAACCCATAACTCCACCAATAAGAACACATGCAAGCAATATAGGAGGCCCCAAAATGCCTCGATAAATTAAAGTTAGATTGTAGAGTCGTTAGGGTTTTGGAGAAAAGAAGAAGAAAGAAAGAGAAGAATATGGAAAGAGAGTAGTGTGTTAGGTTACACAATTACACTCAACTTATTTATATAGTCACAATCATAAAATACTGAAATACCCATAAGCTAGAAATAATACAACACAACACTCCCCCTCAAGTTAGTGCATAAATGTTTCTCATCCTAACTTGCAAAAAATAGTGTACTTGCAAAGAATAGAGTGAAAAACCTTGTTACTAAGCTCCCCTTTGTGAGAACATTAGCTATCTGATCTTTGGATTTTACAAAAGGCATGCAAATCAAACCCTTATTTAACTTCTCTTTAATGAAATGTCGATCTATTTCAACATATTTAGTTCTAACTCAGGAATATTTCGATCCTTGATGTCAGCACGTTAGAATCAAACAATCTCCATTTCTGGTTGCAAGATGCTATTTTCAATGAATTCCAACAACTTTAAGGCGTTAGATTTGATCGATGCTCTGATACTACGTTAGATTGTAGAGTCCTTAGGATTTTGGAGAAGGGAAGAATATGGGAAGAAAGTAGTGTGTTAGGTTACACAACTACACTTAGCTTATTTATATACTCACAATCATGAAGTACTAAAATACCCCTAAGCTAGAAATAACACATTACACAACTGATGGAAAATGGCAACGTCCAATAAAAGTGTATAAAAGACGTGGGTTGGATGGTTCTAAGGCCCAAGCCTTAATTTGGCATATGTTGAATGATGATGGGTCCACTTGGGATATTGACTAGACATGGGCTGATTTCTAAAAGTTTGCATGACTTTTCATTTGCCTTATGACCTTTCATTTAGTTACATTAACCACAGGTTTCTATGCATGTATCCGCAAATTCATTCATATAGCTTTTGCGTAATTGAAAAGTTTTAACATTAATTAGTTCCTGAAGTCCTATATATTGATGTAACTACAAGATTTTGAAGTATGATGAATGAATATATTAAATTTTTAGAAAGCCTTTCTAAGCTTTTAAGATTGTGTGATGCAACCCTTTCTTTGGTGTGATGCTAAAGAGCCCCTAGGTGTGAGGCCTAGAACTATCTTCTCTATCTTCTAATTCTCTTTCTTATTTTTTATCGTTGTCTGTTGTTCATTGTCTACTGTTTGCACATTGTTCATGCATTGTTCACAGCCCTAAACACCCTTAAACAGCCCCTGTTTCAGTATTTTCCCTTTCCTAAGCCGCCTTCCAATTCTGTCCTACATCATTTTTGGTATCAGAGCAAGGGTAGTACCATGACTACACGATCAGGCAGGCCTTTTAGAGGGAGATTGACAGATAACCAGCAAGATGAAATACTATTATGAATTACGAAACAGCTGAATGGTATAAGCATCCGAATGACCAACTTGGAGACTAGAATTGTTCAACCATTCAACAATGCAGCAGCCCATGAGCAAGGAGAAGTTGCTATCGAGGGTCATGTGGAGAATGAAAGAGTAGCAGAGATACAAGTCTTGAATCCTCCTCTAGTACGTGAATTTCCAGCTGGGATACCACAACCTCCCATGCCAGAATGGGCTAGAGAAGTGCTAGAAAGAGGGCCGTATGAGACACATGATACGGCCGGAAATATAACAAAGAAGGTTAAAATGGAGGTTCCAGACTTTGAAGGTAAAGTTAATCCTACATTATTTTCTGATTGGCTTGCTTCCATCGAGGAATACTTTGATTGGTTTCATATGAATGACGATCGACGAGAGAGATTTGCTAAGATGAAGCTTGTAAGATTGGCAAAAATTTGGTGGACAGGCGTTGAAGGTGATATTAGGCGATTAGGACAGCCACCAATTAGTACATAGGAAGAGATGAAAACTAAACTTCGGGAGGAGTACATGCCAGCAAATTATCATGAGAAGTTGTGTGAACAACTCATGGAATTAAAGCAAAATAGCATGTCGATGGCCGCATATATGCAGAAATTTGATGAACTTAAAATAAGGAGTCAAGTAGTGGAAGATCCAAGTCAAACTCTTGCACGATTCAAGATGGGTTTGAGCCTAGATATAAGGCGGGAGCTGCTTCGTCAACCCTTGTACAGTCTTGAACATGCTTTCCAAGTTGCTTTGGATATGGAAGAGTATTTGAAGTACCCAATTACGAGGAAGTTTGGATCTCAAGCTGGGGAGACGACATTAAAGAAGTACAATGATGCAAGAAACTTTTGGACCAATGGTTCTAAGCCATCTTCTCAAAACATAGTTGACCCAAAAGGCAAAGCTCATCCAACCAACAAATTGGGAGGAAAGGAAAGCAGGTGTTTCAAATGTGGGGAGACAGGTCACACATGGCGTTTCAATGCCCAAAGAGAAACTTACATATGGGAGTGGAGCATAGTAAGGAACTTGACCAACAACACCATGAGGATGAGGAGGAATTGTTTGATGTTGGGGACTTCAATAATGATGATTTAGAAGACGAAGAGACCAACACTTCATTGATTTCGGTTGTTAGGCATACCCTTGCAACCCCTAAAGTTGAGAAGGAAGATTAGAGGCACACTTATATTTTTCAAATGTTGGTTCGTCGTGGAGATCAAGCTCATAAGCTTATTATTGACGGTGGAAGTTGCATGAATGTTGTATCATCATCCACGGTTGAACGCCTCAAGCTTCCCATTCAACCACATCCTCAACCATCTAAGGTAACTTGGATTGACAGCACTTTTATTCCAGTAACTCAACGGTGCCTTGTCTCTATTTCTTACAGTTCTTATAGTGATTCTATTTGGTGTGATGTGATTCCTATGAAAGTTACCCACATCCTCCTTGGAAGGCCTTGGCTTTATGATAGAGATGTACATCACTGTGGAAAACAAAATACATACTCTTTCTCATTTAACAACAAAGAGACTGTTTTGAAGCCATTGATTGTAGTTGAAATGGAGAAATTCAAAGAAAAGAACCCAAGGATGATGATGATGTTAAACCAAAGTCCCTTTATGTTCTCACCAAGAAGCACTTTCAACTAGAGAGTATGGAATCGGGGGTCATATATGATGTGATTATGAAAGAAGTATCAAAAACAGAAGTTGTTTTATCCTCTGCAATACCACCGGAGGTGACTGAATCACTGTCTCACTTTTCTGATGTTGCACCCGAAGAGCTACCAAATGAACTTCCTCTAATGTGCAATGTCCAGCATGCAATAGACCTCGTTTCACGGTCACAATTGCCTAATTTTCTAGCCTATTGCATGAATCCAAGTGAACATGCAGAGCTTAAAAGGCAAGTAGATGAACTGTTGTTCAAGGGATTTATTCGTAAAAGCTTAAGGCCTTGTGTTGTCCCAGCATTGCTCATGCCAAAGAAAGATAACAGTTGTCGTATGTGTGTTGACAGTCATGCTATAAACAAGATCACAATCAAATACCGATTCCCCATTCCAAGGCTTGATGATATGTTGGATATGTTGGATGGTTCTTGCATATTTTCGAAGATAGATCTAAAAAGTGGATAGCATCAAATATGCATAAGACCAGGAGATAAATAGAAGAC